GGCCTGGTTCTTCAAGGACCTGCAGGAAAAATGTACTAAATTAGATCCAATACGATAAATTAGATACATAATGTACTAAATTAGACCCAATAGCATAAATTAGATACATAATGTACTAAATTAGACAATACAATAAATTAGACACATAATGTATTAAATTAGACACATAATGTATTAAATTAGACACAATACAATAAATTAGATAAATAATGTACTAAATTAGACACAATACGATAAATTAGATACATAATGTACTAAATTAGACACAATACGATAAATTAGACACATAATGTATTAAATTAGACACAATACAATAAATTAGATACATAATGTTAGACACAATACGATAAATTAGATACATAATGTACTAAATTAGACACAATACAATAAATTAGGTACATAATTTGTTTAATTAGATACAATTCGATAAATTATATACATTATGTACTAAATTAGACACAATACGATAAATTAGACACATAATGTACTAAATCAGACCCAATTGGATAAATTAGATACTAGTAACAAGTTATAAGACAGAAAATAAAGCAATAAATTTGATACATTCTGAGAAGAGACGGAGAATCACTAGACACTGAAATTGTAAACAGGGATGGAGGAAACATGGATGAGAGAGGCCAAAGATGCTGGACTGGATTCTATCCATGATATCAAAGTGATTGAAAAAATCGAACGAAATGGAGAAAACAGATTGTGAGACCTATTTGATATGTAATGGCTCAACAGTACAATGAATGATGAATATCATATTTTACAAAAAGATTAACTGTGACCTACTGACCCATTTAGTTGCTTTGAACATGATCAGATCCAGGGGGTCGCCGACCATGACCCCGTCAATGATGGTCAGTGAGTGACAGGTCGCCATGCAGGTCATGAGGGGGTCTTGAGTGAGGTCATCCATGTCTTTGATGATTGGTTCAAATCTGGTCATATGAGCATTAAGTGTAGGTTTAAAAAGATGTGTGAAATTTCACATGTTGTATTAACTCAGTCTAAGTCAAGGTTTCATCTTAATTGCAATCTGGTCACCTCACACTTGCTCCAGTTATGTGCCAGAGAAAATGAAATGAAAGTCCCTTACTGTACCACCCGAAAAACTGGTGAACAAATGCAGTAAATGCATAAGGCAGTTGCTTGAGATGCCAAAGCCAACAGTCGCCACCAGAAACGTAGTTTATCATTGATGGAAGTAGTCAGGTACGATAAGTTGGCAGTTGGCTATACACATGTAAAATTATTACTTAAGGTATTTCACAAGCCCATATTTAAACTGATTAACGGCTAAATTGAATACCACCACTCAACCGCTACACAAATGAAAGGCAGTCCACATGGACAAAACAAACAGCTCACAGTACCGCACCAAGCACTAAACTCAGTAGCTCAGGCAGCAAAACTGTAGAAATCTATCCAAATGTGCTAACTATTGCCTGCAGTTTTTACAATTTGTTTTATCTGTCAAAACGGGATAATTTGAATTAAATGCTACAGGGGGACTTTGACTAGTTCACTGCCTTTTTTGTCATGAGCCGTTTCCTGAAAACTAACATTTGTCAGGATCCACTTTTTTAGGTTCTAGTAGCCTAATATATTAGTAAACTAACAGAAAATGTATTGATTGGCACTCACAGAAAGAACGAGAAAATAGAAGAACACACTAGACAACATACAAATTGAAAGCTATAGTTAGTGTGTCGAGAATCAAACTTGTCACCTCCAGGCGGAGCATGCGCCTTGCATGGAAACAAGTGCACTAAGAACATGGTCAACTAAGCAACCACCCCCCCCCCCCCCCCCCCCCCCCAAAGTGTTTTATTGGCCATGTCTATCATACAGCTTGAAATCCACAATTCCGGAAAATGGACAGAATTCATTTCAAACCACTGAATTGACACCATAGTTTACAGAATGTATATTAACGAAGCATATGTAGAATAACACGCACAGCAACAATTTATTTATGGGAATGATGTATCAAATAGTCTAAAAGCTTCAATGGCTACCAAAACAAAATACTCTTTTCCCCCGTGTGGGTTCCGGGGCCCCATTGTAGGGGAAAACAAGAATAGACCCACTGCCTCCCCAAAAGCATGTCGTAAGAGTCGACTAATTGGGGAGCTTCCCTTGAAGTCAGAGTGCATCTGCCGGAGAGGCAAGGAACCAACAGTCTGTATTCAAGAGAATGAGATCTGTAAAACTGATGCACACACAACACTCAGGTTCTGGAGCAGGACTGCAGTTCAGTAGTGGACGAGCAACCAAAACCTTCCGCCAGAGTTTACAGCTGGTGAACGCGAAGAAGAAGGAGAAGAAAATCCTCTTTTCTGTGTCGGAAATGAAACTTAGACCCTTGTCTTGTCAGGCAGGTGTCTCAACTCCTCGTCCACTGCAACTACAAAGCTGAATACGTGTATATTTGTAGAGAAGAATATTGGCCTGTAGGTTTTGTGACACAATTTTGTGGGAAACACGAATAGACCCCCCCCCCCCCCCCCAAAAAAAAAAAAACCAAGCATGCTGTAACTACAAGTATTTTCTTTGAAGTCAGAGTGCATCTGTCCAAGAGGTGAGGAGCTAACAGTCTGCATACAAATAAGACACAAATAAGAAACAAACTTCAAACAACTCACTTTGACCTTTCCACGCGGACAACACCATGCATATCAAGTCCATCCTCCGTCAGGGTCCCCGTCTGAAACCACACAAAGATGACACAAATTATGACTACTTCAGGTGCTACGTCTGCTGTTTATTGTGTATGCAAATGATTTAGCAAACAGCTGTAATGTTATATGAAATTTTGAAATGAATTCACTTAACACAGCCTGAGACTAGAAAGCTCAATGAAGGACAACAGGAAAAGTGGAAACAGAAGCAATTTAATATTTTGACTGCTGTCTTTGTCGAATGAATAATAAAACAACAAGACAAATCTGTAAATGACAATAATGGAAATTTGAAAAGCAAGAATAGGAAACGCTGCTGCAAAATTAAACAAAATGTGTGTGCGCACACATGTGCATATATGTGTGTAATACAGTGAGTTTAAACAAGAAAAATTTCGAGGAATTACAAATGCTGAAGACTTTTTCTTCTTCTCCTCTTCCTCCATTTACTTCCTCAAAGTGTGGAGGGCAGATGTAAGGATCTTCTGAGGGCTCTTTCCAATGTTTTCTATAAGTGGATCCTCTAAGGCCATTCTTGATGCCGTCACTCCACCATCTATGTGGCTTTCATTTTGTACATCCCTATTTTTGTTTTTTTAGTGTGGCTTTCTGTGGCACCTGGTACCATGCTAAAGACTTAATTATCTCCGCAGCCGTAATTTTCAAGCAAAGGAACAGAACAACAATAGAAGACATCAAAACAGCAATGAAATCCAAGTAAAACAAAAATAAAGAACAACAAAAAACAAAGACTTACTTTATCAAGCTTTTATCAGAACTGTGAAAACAATTCAAAGTAGACATGAAGAACAACAGGAAATGCAAAAGACTGACCTTATCAAAACAGCAGCGGATTCCAAGTTCACAAATAGAAGAAGAATCATGAAAGCCAAAGATTGACTTCATCAAAACTGCAGCAGATTCAAAGTTCACAAAAAAGAGAAGGACAACAATGAAAGCCAAAGACTGACCTTATCAAAGCAGCACGTGTTGATTGTGCCACTGATGCTGATGCCCTGAGGACTGATGCAGTAGATGTTCTGCTTCTTCAACCTGCTCTGGGAAAAGACCACACCGACAGCCAGGGCTGCAGGTAGAGCAGGGGGTACAGCAATGGTGATCAGGTCCAGGGATCTAATGATGATGTGGCCGGCGTGGTCGCCATTCCTCACCTGTGTGGTATATCAAGGTGAACCAAGTCAGTCAAGTCAAGTCATCCTTCGCACATCATTGATGCATCAGGCACAAGATTATAGACTCATATTTGTACAAACAACTGGTACTAGATGGATTATTTACTTGTTACCTGATCAATTTGACCCATGCAAGCTCCGTCCTCTAATGTAGCAGCCATCTCAGTGTCTCCATGCTCAACGTACCCCGTATGGGCTGGCATATCTTCTGTATTTTCCCCACAACCAGTTTCTGCACTCTTGTCCTTGTTTAATATCCATTTGCAACAGGTATTTCATCGTCTCTAACTCCTTTGTTCCCTTGAATGCAGAATATTCAGTATGTCTGTCCTGTACACACTTCTTCTTCTTCCACTAACTACTGCAGACATGGCCAGCGTGTCCGCTTTTTCTTCTTTTGTCAATATCTGCTTTGTGCCGTTAGATGTCACAGTTGAATGGATGATAGTTAGCCGAGCCAGGGCATGTTTGGCTGCTTTGTTTGCTCAGCTGTTGTGTGAAGTCATATGCTCTCAGTGACTCCAGTCGTTCTTCTTCCTAGTTGCCCCTCTGCCACTTGGTCCTTCCACTTTCATATTGTGTATTTGGTTCTTTATTAATATCCTACCAAAGATGACATCACAGAACAGTCCAAAATTTTAGAGGGTGGTAAGACTGGGTTTCTCGGCTTTCTGCTGCTTTTAACGACCCCAAAACATCTAGAACTGGCTCTAACCCCAACCCACCTATGTTCCACGATAGAGAGTGCAGACTAGGTCCCACGACTGCATGCAGCCTATCTACCAACCCCTGAAATATTATACAGTCCCGTCACCTGTGGATTTTCCCTGTTTGTGGTAGGACATTAATAAAGCACAGTGCAATTTTGCTGACGGCACTGTTCATTTTATTCCATGGTCAAACCATTTCAGTCTTTATTTCTCAGTGAATTTAACAATGTATATTGTGCCAGTGGTTCTTCTTATCCCATAATTTCTCACATGATCTTTCTCAAACACATAATTTCACAGGTTGCTAAACGTCTCTCATACACAGGTTGCTAAACGTCTCTCATACACAGGTTGCTAAACATCTCTCATACACAGGTTGCTAAACGTCTCTCATACACAGGTTGCTAAATGTCTCTCATACACAGGTTGCTAAATGTCTCTTATACACAGGTTGCTAAATGTCTCTTATACACAGGTTGCTAAATGTCTCTCATACACAGGTTGCTAAATGTCTCTCATACACAGGTTGCTAAATGTCTCTCATACACAGGTTGCTAAATGTCTCTCATACACAGGTTGCTAAATGTCTCTCATACACAGGTTGCTAAACATCTCTCATACACAGGTTGCTAAACGTCTCTCATACACAGGTTGCTAAATGTCTCTCATACACAGGTTGCTAAATGTCTCTCATACACAGGTTGCTAAATGTCTCTCATACACAGGTTGCTAAATGTCTCTCATACACAGGTTGCTAAACGTCTCTCATACACAGGTTGCTAAATGTCTCTCATACACAGGTTGCTAAATGTCTCTCATACACAGGTTGCTAAATGTCTCTCATACACAGGTTGCTAAACGTCTCTCATACACAGGTTGCTAAATGTCTCTCATACACAGGTTGCTAAACGTCTCTCATACACAGGTTGCTAAACCTCTCTCATTCACAGGTTGCTAAACGTCTCTCATACACAGGTTGCTAAACGTCTCTCATGTTCTTTAGTAAATCTCTAAACCTGTGGGCCAAAAGGACCAAATTCCAGAAATCTAGATCAACTGTATAAACCAGTATTATCGGGGCCAAATGGTTAACCTGCTATTCTACGGATGAGGGTTATATATAGCAAACCATATTTCACACAACAGTGACGTTCTTTACGGCACTTTTAACACACAAATAAAAGACTGTTTGCATTCTTCAGAAGTGTCCGATTCCACAGTTAAAACTGAAACCCTTACCATTAAGTTGAAACCTTTACCATTAAGATGAAACCCTTACCATTAGGACAAAACCTTTACCACTGAGATGAAACCCTTACCATTAGGACAAAACCCTTACCATTAGGACAAAACCCTTACCATTGAGATGAAACCCTTACCATTGAGATGAAACCCTTACCATTGAGATGAAACCCTTACCATTAGGACAAAACCCTTACCATTAAGATGAAACCCTTACCATTAAGATGAAACCCTTACCATTAGGACAAAACCCTTACCATTGAGATGAAACCCTTACCACTGAGATAAAACCCTTACCATTGAGATGAAACCCTTACCATTAAGATAAAACCTTTACCAATAAGATAAAACCCTTAGCATTAAGATGAAACCCTTACCATTAAGATGAAACCCTTACCATTAGGACAAAACCCTTACCATTGAGATGAAACCCTTACCATTGAGATGAAACCCTTACCATTAGGACAAAACCCTTACCATTGAGATGAAACCCTTACCATTGAGATGAAACCCTTACCATTAAGATGACAGTGTAGATGAAACCCTTACCATTAAGATAAAACCTTTACCAATAAGATAAAACCCTTACCATTAAGATGAAACCCTTACCATTAAGATGAAACCCTTACCATTAAGATAAAACCTTTACCATTAAGATGAAACCCTTACCATTAAGATAAAACCTTTACCAATAAGATGAAACCCTTACCATTAAGATGAAACCCTTACCATTAAGATGAAACCCTTACCATTAAGATGAAACCCTTACCATTAAGATGAAACCCTTACCATTAAGATGAAACCCTTACCATTAAGATGAAACCCTTACCATTAAGATGAAACCCTTACCATTAAGATGAAACCCTTACCATTAAGATGAAACCCTTACCATTAAGATGAAACCCTTACCATTAAGATGAAACCCTTACCATTAAGATAAAACCTTTACCAATAAGATAAAACCCTTACCATTAAGATGAAACCCTTACCATTAAGATAAAACCCTTACCATTAAGATGAAACCCTTACCATTAAGATGAAACCCTTACCATTAGGATGACAGTGTAGATGAAACCCAGTCCAGCCAGACATGCCAGGACCATGATGAAATAGTAGGAATGTCGTTCAAATTTGAAGTTGACAGGTTTTGGGAACAAGATTGACCGAACCAATTCTCCCTTTGAAGTTGAGAAACCTGGTTAAAGAAATAAAAAAAACACAAATGTATTCGTTCGTCTTATGTAATGTAGTATTAATTTTGTCACAGAGATCATGTTCAACCCTTGGGAGTTAGCTTCTTCTTTGCATTCACCTGCTGTGAACTCCGGCGATAACTTCTGGTTGTTTGTCCACTTCTGGACTTTAGTCTTTTTCCAGAACTTCTGTTTTGCATGCAAATTTATTATGCACATCTGGCTTATTTGTATGCAGACTGTTGGTCCCTTGCCTCTCAAGCTGATGCACTCCAATTTCAACAAAACATAACCCTTGATCCATTAGGGTCGTGGAGGTGTATTGATGGAAGCACTAGCACATAAAACCCGCCATCTTTCTCTGTCTAACTCTGGATAAATAAGTGTATGATAACTTAGTCCTGTCCATTTCTTAATGCTGTCATCCCATGTTCTTATTTCCCCTCCTCTTCTAAAACTACTCCCTCCTAACTCCCAATTCCTTGAAGTACAGTCTTTGCAATTGAATCATGTCTCACTACTTGCCCAAACCAAGCTAGCTTGTGACGTTTCACCACTGCCAAGAGAGAAGCTCCTGATGTCCCACAAAAGTGTATATTTTGTCTCTGACATATTTATTAGTTTTGTGTTCTAAATAATTCGTAAAATACGCCTGTAGCATTTACACTCGAAAACCTGAATCCTTCTTTCCATTTCCACAGTGAGAGTCCAACTCTCTCATCCGTAGAAGAAAATAGACAACACCAGTGATTTGTAAATATTGACCTTGACTGCAATGCTGATTTTGCTCTTCCACATGGTATTCAGCTGCGTCATCGCGGCTGTTGCCATATCAAGTCTTCTCTTGATCACTTTGGTACAGCTGCCATCATTGCATGTGTGGGAGCCATGATATTTAAAGGTTTCAACTTCTAGATTTTTTTTTCTTATTTTTTTATCTGAATGTTAGTGGGTACTCAAATTTTGATGGGTACTTGGTTATTGCGACTATTTACCAGAATCTTGCTTTTCTCTGCATTAATTTCTATGCTATATTTACGATAGACTGTCTCTAATTTTGTTGTAAGTTCTTGGAGTTCTGTTTCAGAACCAGCCATGAGATCTATGTCATCTGACAAGTGTAAATTACAGAGTTGTCTTCTGCCAATGGATATACAGGTTTCATGATTCTCTAGTGTTTCGCTCATTACGTGTTCCAAATTCAAATTGAAAAGGACAGGGGACAGTATGCAACCCTGTCTCACTCCCACATTGGTCTTGAAAATCTTCCTATGTCATTTTGAATGAGCTCTGCACTGCTTCCAACTTTATACAGCGCTTCAATGGTGTCTATGACGTTCTTATCAAAGATGATGATGATGACTAAATGTGGCCATTCTGGCGATATAACACACCTGTTCGTAACACGACAGCCCTGACCTTCTGGTTGCCATAAAACCTGGTTTGTATGACATGTGTGCCACAAAAGAGAATGTGTCTGGAATGATTCTTCATGCTGAGCTCTGGGTCGTGTTCCTCCTTGAGTCCAGTCGGGTTCGGCAGAGGGGTCTTAGTGACAGGTACACTTTCACCTGGCAGGACACACAAGAAAATTGTACTGTTGCAAACAAGAAAATTAGGAAATGTGACACCCCCCCCCCCCCCCCCCCCCCCCTGACCAAAAAAAATGACTGTTACAAATGAAGTCGCCCTTCTCCTTGATTCAGGACTACCCCCACTAATCACCACACAATAATTTATAAATGGAATTAGTAAATGATGAAAGATAACTAAACTGATGGGCTCAAAACTTGTCAGAAACTGGTACAACAGAGTGTATATTATGTATTTTTCCCATTATGTTCAATAATAATATGTATGTGGATTTAATTTGTGTGTTTTATGTACAATTTTTTCAATAGCCCGTGTAAATGAGAATAGTACTGAAAACTTTAATTTTGACCTACAACTAGTTTAACTTACGACCTGTTAGTTGGAACAGAACTCAGTCTTAAGCCTAGGAGACTGTACATGAAATATTTATTAATTACAAGAAAAGAAGAAAATTCAGAACACTATGATCTATCTATTGTCTTCTTCACTTTTACCGGGTTGCAGCCCAGTGTCGTGGTTTAAAATATTTGTTTTGTGCCTCTCACGTGATTTGAGTGACAGTTTTCTGGATCTTCTGGCCGTATTCAGCTACTCCATCTATCCATTTTTTCCTGGGTCTTCTTTCATGACTCTGTCTTGTGTGTGGCGGTTTGAAGCGCTGGTGTAATCGCACTTTTTCTTCAAAATACACCATAAATCTTGAGCAATGGTGCTTGAACAAACAAATCCCCTACCGGCTTGCTGGGCCTGTCGTTGGATCATCCTTGGAACACTATGATAACCCGGCAAATTGAGGAACTTTGTGAGAGGAGTTTCCCCAAAAAAAATTTTGTTAAGATGATGATGTAGAATAAAAGTGTAAGGGTCTGTATAGTGGTGAGGTAGATGGTCAACAGGAGTCGCTGTGGCGTAGTGGCTAGACGCCCGCCTACGGATCGGAAGGTCATGGGTTCGCTCCCTGGTGGAGCTCGACTTTTTTAAAAATGACCTTGGCTCCCTTTTCGACCCAGCCTTGAGTGGGTACCGGGTGCAGTCCTGGGAAGTAAAGGCGGCCGGCGTGATGCTGACCACATCACCCATCTTGTGCCGATTGGTCTATAAAATATAGGTCTAGCCCTATATGCCCTATACGCCTAAAGGCAGGGAAAAGGGACTTTTACTTTTTTTTTTTTTAAACTCAGATGGTCAGCAGTCAGACTTAGAAAGTGACACACAAAAAATAAAATAAAAATTACAACTAAAATGAGATTTCTGCAAAGAGGTCTTAATATAACAAGAAGACAGAAGATCACAAATGATGAAATCCAGAGGGAAATAAGGGTAGCGACATCAGAAGATTTCATTAGAAAACAACAAGTGAAACAAACAGCAAACAAAGATGGACACACACCTGGCGGGAAGCGAAGAAGAGGCCGACCATACAAATATTAGACAGAGTTATAGAGCCCCTGGGAATTCCCATTTATAAAGTGCACAAACTGGCGCTTTCCCGTAAATTATACTTTATCTCGACGCCGCAAGGTACAAGAGGATCAAGATGAGATGATTTACATCACCATCATCATCATCATAAACCACATCTGCCATTAAGTGTCGTGGGGAGGAATAATTTGTGATACAGTGCACGTTGGCTGCCACTGGCTATTGTCATGCCGTGAAGATCAAGATGGCGGAGTAAACAAAAAGACGGTTAACATTCAGTGGGACGAAAATGTGAGTTTTTGTGTGTAAGGATGATCCTGCGACAGGTCCAGCAAGCCGGTAGGGAATTTATTTGTTCACGGGAAATTGCTCAAGAATTATGGAGGAATTTGAAGAAAAAGAGTGATTCAAACAGCGCTCACATCACACACACGACGAATAAACCAGTTTTCGATAGCAAGCAAACGACAAGAAACGAGCACCATCGACAAACTAATGACAGCAGCAAGAGAGGATTTACAATAAACTAAAATGGTCAAACTGAGAACTCACCAGTCAACATGCTCTCATTAACAATACAATTTCCTGTGACGAGCACGGCGTCACACTGCATGTCACAACCGTGCCGTGGAATCTCGATGACATCACCAGGAACTAGGTCTTCGGATGGGATATCCATATACACTGGATAATATAGAAACACTGATAAAAGCAGACGACATAAACATTCATTTTGCAACGTCTGCCCACAAATGTAACACACATTTAATAGATTTCTAATTTTCAAAGTTAGTTTAAATTACAGTAGAAATATGTAATATGCATTATTGATTTTTTTTTTTGGGGGGGGGGGGCATCTAATTAAAATAAAAGCTGAAAAACATTTACTCACAATGGAAATCTAATTTTTCATCAAAATGTTAAGAATATCATTGAGTTATTTTTTTTGTAAACTGAGCTTCTTTATTTCCTTTTTTTTTAAAAACTTCTTCGGATATCAAGAGAGAATTGAGGTTTCGTTTCTTGCTCTTTAAGCCACATTGATCACAGATATATCCTGCTGTTGTAGAGTTTCTCTGATGTTATCTTTCCATGTTGTTCTTGGACTACCTTATGTCCTACATACTTCTCCTCTTTTGGTGTATGCCTGTGTGGTTTGGTGTCACAACGCATTCTCTTTAAGTGGGCAAAACCCCTTGACCATGCAATACAATCATTAAAATCTACAATCATTCCATACACAATCAATCATGCAAGCAACTCACCACCATCCCCTCTACACACTGTAGTGACTGTCGATGAAGTGATTGTATTCCTCAGAGCTCTTTCAAACTATGAAATAAAAAAAATTAAAAAGCATTTTTTAAACATTTTATACCAGAATAAAGTATATATTCCACGACACATTTCTAACGTATCTCTTATTTTTGGAGCATTATTTGTCCTGTGTGTATTTATGTAGATTCTTCACAGAAAATCTATACAGTTTTCGAGATAAGGTAATATTCTAGTTTGAACAACGGATTTAATCACGGCGCATGGATAGTAACCCATAATTGCTCCGTTCTTCTTCTAATTCAAGTCTGAGTCCGAATTAGCTCAGCGCAGTGCACAGGCTTTGTAGCACCGGCGATGACCTTGAAATACTTTGGATAGATTTTGAACTCCGAATTTTGCCCACGCAGCGCCATCAGGCTACTCTTTTCAATATCCAACTGTCAAGGGATTTGTTACGTGCGCAACATTGCACACGGGAGTCTGATCTCACTACCCAGAGACCAGGGGAAATTACTAGAAGTCCAAGTCCACGTGAAAAAATCCCAGCTCTTACAGTGGATTGAACCCGGAACCTCTAGCAGTCGAGGCGGACGCCATACCTCGAGACCACGCAGCATCCGCGTAGAAGCAATAGTAATAACAACACTGGTAAAAGTAGCAGTAATAATAATAATAATACAAAGAATAATTATTATAAACAACAGACAATCTACATCAAATAAAACACTACAAAAATCAATGGCTACCCACCTTTCTGGACTGGTAAATAGTCACCGCGATGGACAAGCTGGTCATTACAAAAATACAACTGGCATAAACTCGGTAGCCATCGATGTACCAGATGGTCATGGAGAACAGTTGGAAGATGTAAAATGGTGACAGCAACTGCAAATGAAACAAAACATTTGAGTCCAAACTAGAGTTCAGGGTTTAATCCTTGGTAAGGCAGAATTATTGTTCTTTTCTGACCAATCATTTTCTGCGGTGTATCCAAGCTCCAAAATGAGTCTTCTTCTTCTTCTTTACCTTCTTCTTCTAATTCTTTCTTTCTTTGCTTCCTCCTCCTTCTTTTTTCTTCACTTTTCACTCTCCTTCCCCTTCAGCTTCTTTTTCATTTTCTTCTTCTTATTATTTTTTTCCTCCTCCTCCTCATTCTTCTTTCTTCACTTCACCTTCTTCTTCTTCTTCTGTTCTTTCTTCTTGTTTTCCTTTTCCTCCTCCTTCCTCTGTTCCTTCTCCTCCTTTTTTTCTTCACTTCTTCTTTCCATCCAGTTACCATGTTGAAGTTTGGGAGAGAAGAACTGATCGTCTGTGTGCTCATTTTAATGCATTGATCTTTATTTCTTCAAGGCCATTCTTAATGCTGTCATTCCATATTTTGTATGGTCTTCTCCTTGCGACTTTAAATCCACTATTTTAACTCTTTACTCAATTTCTCGGGCAAAAAAGAATAGACATATTGCCAGTTTGGGCCTGCAGGCAATAGTTTGCACACCCTTGAGACAGCTCTGTATGAGCTCTGGCCCTGTTGCACCACTACGTATGGTTCAGCCCTTCTGCATCCTCAACCACTACCTGTGGTCCAGCCCTTTGCATCCCACACCACTACGTGTGGTTCAGCCATTCTGCATCTCACACCACTACGTGTGGTTCAGTGTTTCTGCATCTCACACCACTACGTGTGGTTCAGCGTTTCTGCATCCCACACAACTACGTGTGGTTCAGCCCTTCTGCATCCCACACAACTACCTGTTGTTCAGCCCTTCTGCATCCCACACAACTACGTGTGGTTCAGCCCTTCTGCATCCCACACAACTACGTATGGTTCAGCCCTTCTGCATCCTCAACCACTACCTGTGGTCCAGCCCTTTGCATCCCACACCACTACGTGTGGTTCAGCCATTCTGCATCTCACACCACTACGTGTGGTTCAGCGTTTCTGCATCTCACACCACTACGTGTGGTTCAGCGTTTCTGCATCCCACACAACTACGTATGGTTCAGCCCTTCTGCATCCCACACAACTATGTGTGGTTCAGCCCTTCTGCATCCCACACAACTACGTGTGGTTCAGCCCTTCTGCATCCCACACAACTACGTGTGGTTCAGCCCTTCTGCAACCCACACCACAATTTCATTATCTCGAAAAACAAAAAATTATAAGTAATAATAAATTTACCTGCTGAAATAATAATACCAAAATTGGTGTTACATGGACAGCAATTGAGTTCATCCCGTACAGGACACGACTGGAAAAGAAAAAGATCAGTGACATTTACATAAATTAAAACAAAAACATTTCAAAGGTAAAACAATAAATGACAAATACTACATTCTAGAACTTTTCATTTTTTCTTCTTATCTTCCTCCATGCTCTTCTTCAACTTCTTCTTCTTCTTTTTCTTCTTCTTCTTCTTCTTCTTCTTCTTCAGCATTCCAAGCCCTTGAGGGTTCTTGATCCAGATATCATCTGCCTCCACTCATCTTTTGTGATTGGCTTTCTCCTTCCAGTTGCTGACTCCAAGTGTGTGTATATTATTTCTCCATCGTCTTCCTGATGTGCCCCATGGTCTACCCCCATTCAACTCTTTTGTGATGCAGTTTTTATCTCTCTGTGATCCTAATTCTTTCAGTATATTAAATTGTTACATCTAATTTGTCCACTCAGTTTACCGTAACTTGCAGAACTGTCGTGACTTTAAACTGTCTTTCGTGTCTGTATTGGCTACTTCTTCACGCCATGGCTAGTGCAGTCGATACAAACTCTACAGGTTAGCATTTTTTATTTTTGTCCTTGTCATCTTATTGATGATTTCTTCTTCTTCACATTCACCGGCCATAAACTCTAGCAGAAAGTTTTGGTTGTTTGCCCACCTCTGGACTTTGGTCTTTCTGCAGAACTTGAGTTTGGTATGCATATCCTTGTCTCTCTGGCAGATGCACTGCAGCTTTGAAAGAAATACTTTGACAACATGCCTGTTAGGAGGCCGTGAAGGCACCGGAACCCACACTGGGAACTAAGGATTTGATCCTAATCTTCCTAATTAGAGTCAAACCTTTATAAACACTTGGCCAAGGGCTTCTCTCACTGAACGTGTGAAATACTTAAGAATGTATGCAAGTTATAACATCGTGTTGCCAGATAGCCAGGTCTCTTAATCAGCTTCTCTTTTTTACCAACCTAAGATTAAAATAATTTAGATTGATTGAGTATGAATCAATTTGGTTACAAATCTGGCAACACTGTCATTTACCACTTTTTAAGGTGTAAAAGATGTGGGTGGGTGGGGGGGGGGTGTAAAGGGGTGCTTGGGCCATGAGCTTGAAAATTTAGGGTTGTATGGCTAGTGCTGTCACCGTGGACTGTGTGGGTTACGATGTTGAATTTTGCCCCTAGCAGAAAAACATCCATCTCCTTACTGAGATTTGAACCTGAGTCTCCCCCACATGGGAGCTCAGTGTGGTTATATAACTGAATTTTAAACACATCACAGCAGTGACAAATCAGTTGCTTTTGATCTGGCAGTTTCGACAAATGGAGGCAAAGTGTGCTCTAGTTTTCGGTGACACAAAATGGAATAATCCAGTAGGGTTGGGATCGACTAGTCTCAGTCTCAGTCTCAGTCTCAGTCTCAGTCTCAGTCTCTCTCTCTCTCTCTCTCTCTCTCTCTCTCTCTCTCTCTCTCTCTCTCTCTCTCTCTCTCTCTCTCTCTCTCTCTCTCTCTCTCCCTCCTCTCCCCTCCCTCCCTCCCTCCCTCCCTCCCTCCCTCCCTCCCTCTCTCTCTCTCTCTCTCTCTCTCTCTCTCTCTCTCTCTCTCTCTCTTCATGTGCCAAGGGGCTCTGGCTCGCCTGACTTATCAGTTATTCTGTCCTTAACCTGCAACTGGCCTAGCAAGCCGGCAGGGGATTATTTTCATCACTAGAAGATACAAAACGAATTATAAATGAACTGATTTAGACAGCAATGAGGCACACAAAAGGGCTCTTTCCTTTCAATTATACTTCGCCTCGACACTGCAAGGTACAAGAGGATCAATATGAGATCAGATAAGAAAACTGAAAACTTGACCTTGGCCTGAAACATTACTGTATAGCCAGGTAAAAACACAAAATGAAGACTAACCTTGTTTAAAAAAGTGAAGACTTAACATTTGATTTCGTAAACTAAATAGTTCACAGAGGCAACCCACTTGATCGTCTGACCTGAGCATATAAAACCGAGAGCAAAGAAGAAAAGATTTCATAAACATTATGGAAACTTACCGTTTGGCTTGATCTTTTGTACTAAGGCCTTTAGTGTTATGAAAATATGATAATCTGTAACCTTCATCTAAGCCTCTGAAAGACACAAAAGAAAACCAAACAGTTGAAAAAAATCTGGCATTATTACTGACCTCCATAAACACACTACACATAAAATAAACATATTTATGAGACTAAAGTTTATTTTGATAATGATCTTACGTGAGAATTATAGATGGGTAGAAACTGCCCTCCTCAATTCATCTCTCTGGTGGGTCTTCTCTTTCCGGTTGGTGACACCAAGTGTTTGTAGGTCTGTCTGGACATTATCTCTACATCGTCTTCTTGGTGTGTCTCATGGCCTACAACCATTCACCCATTTTGTGTAAGCAATTTTTGTCTCTCTGTTTTCTGACACCTCTCTCTATACTTCCCGCCTATTGTAGTCTATTAGCCCACATAATGACAGTAAGTAATTTGCAGTGATTTAAACAGATTATGAATTGGATTGTTGATTCTCATTATTCCTTCGCCGCTGTTTGCATCTTTCATGGGTTTAAATATTTGTTTAAGACTCTCTTCGCATTTTGTTATAAGACTTCATCTCCCTCAGCTGTACTCTAGGGATCAGTACATCTCCCTCAGCTGTACTCCAGGGGTCAGTACATCTCCCTCAGCTGTACTCTAGGGATCAGTACATCTCCCTCAGCTGTACTCCATGGGTCAGTACATCTCCCTCAGCTGTACTCTAGGGATCAGTACATCTCCCTCAGCTGTACTCCAGGGGTCAATACATCTCCCTCAGCTGTACTCTAGGGATCAGTACATCTCCCTCAGCTGTACTCCAGGGATCAGTACATCTCCCTCAGCTGTACTATAGGGATCAGTATAATACATAGACTTGCAGCAGAATGAAGGACAGAATCTAGAACTTTCGGAGTTGGAGGCTAAAGGTCTATCCACTTTGCCATGGTAGAACATTATATACAACAATGAGAAGGAGACAAACAAAGTTTTTAAGGTCATGTGATGAGAAAAACAGCACTTGAAAATATGATGACAAGAAAGATCACTGGCAGAAGATGTAGAGGCAGACCAAGGCTTAAGACAGTGGCTTGGAGGAATATCATTAGTGCAGTTGATTCAAGACACCAAAGACAGAGATCTTTGCAGATGCATGAATGCCTATGCCAACTGGCAAGGCACTTGATGATGATGATACTTCACTGTATCTTGTCAGGTGCATTAGTGCTTAGAGAGTATTATCTTCACAGCACTCCGGACTGATTCATAGGTGCTCCATCTCCTCCTCAAAAGCTCCACAAGTGTGAAATGACTTGACTTTCTACCCCACTAGGACATCACACAAGCGATAAACACCCGATGACGCAAAGTGCCACCATGTGGATGAGGATCACCGTGGAGAGGTCCAAGAAACCGCGTTCAGACAATTGGCCATATTGATGGCCTGCCTATATTGCGGCCTCTGTCAAAAGCCAGAGTGGGGCTTCAAATAACAAAAAATTACGTCCTTAAAAGGACGTAAGGAATATGTTCATTTCTTGCAGCTTTAGGTTGCAACCGCATGTCCATCTGCTTGGACAGGAAAATGAAATCAAGTCACTTTGCCGTGTTCATCTTTGTGATAAGTGATGCACATGACATTGATAACATCGCTCGTGTCCAGTACCCAACCAGTCTTCCTGGTACCATGCCTTCTGATTAAAATATTTCAGCTTCCGAGACAAGATATTTTTGTCTACCTTATTAAAATCTACAACAGGAAAACATTGTGACAGATAACAAATATTTTAAAATACTGGACTGAAGAATTTCAGTCTACCTTAGAGGAATGAACTGAAATCGCTCCGGATCCCAAATATATTTGACTTTCTTGCACAGGAAATACCGAATGAGACTTTCGTCATTCTGAAACACTCAAATGATAAAGAGTTAGAGATTAATATAAGATTGTAATAAAAATTATAATAGTTTTTCAACTGTGTCTATCTTGAAAAGGATAGCTGGTAAAATATTTTGTGGTTTATAGCTAGGCTGCAATATCTGCACCATTTGGGCCAAACATTTAATTTCAGCAATAATTTAATTAATTTCAGCAGTGCAACAAAGCCTGGCATATGATATCACAACGTCTAGTGTGAGAATGGAGGTGGAGGCAGCCACTGTTGCCTTCTGTTAGCTCGAGAATCAGCTGTACACACATGTTGTCATTGTAACTGACTCACAGAGCATGTTGAGAAAGGTGGATATAGGCATGCTCCATGCAGAGTGGCAAGCATCACTTCAAAGGTCCAAGGTAGTTAGGATATTTTCTTCAGGTCATGCCAATGAGCTACACCAGTTTAGCAGCAGATTAGTAAATTACCCCAAAAGCGGTACATCGATCTCGTAGAGTTAAAAAAACAAAAAGGTTGTATCGCACATTGGGAAGCAATTAATATGTATATAATCTTGGTATTTGTGTGTTGATTTCATTGTGAGGTTTTTGTTGGCACAGAAACTAAGCAGCTATTGGATGACCCATTTGCGGTAAAGTTGGAACTGTGACTACCCGATAAATAAATTACTGTATTTAGTTCTTTATTAATATCCTACCCCAGATGACATCACAGGACAGTCCAACATTTTAGAGGTGGGTAAGACTGGGTTTACCGGCTATCTGGTGCTTTTAACGACCCCAACACATCTAGAACTGGTTCTTACCCCGACCCACCTATGTCCCACGCCTGCATACAGCCTATCTACCGCCCCCTGAAATATTAGACTGTCCCGTGACCTGTGGATTTCCCCTGTTTGGGGTAGGATATTAATAAAGCACCCAGTATTTAACTTTTTCAGGCCTTATATCTCCCTCAACACCTGAAGCAGTAAAAGAGGACAAAAAAGAAGAGAAGAAAAGATTTAACTTGTTCGGCACCAGAGGACTGGTAAATTAGTTACGGGTGTAGGATGTATTCCTTGGTTTTAAAGAGTTATTCACTGGAAGGTTACGGGTAGTGAGCATACTTTTGATCTTTTCTCCTGGTCATGCCGGCGTGGTGGGTAATGAACTGTCAGACAGATTAGCTGGATCTGCACCACTGGGTGATGAACTGATACACGACAAGGCAGATGTGGTCAAGGCCCTTTGGGAACAAGCAACGGAATCAGTAGAGAAAGAAGATTATTATGGCCTGGAGAGAATGAGGCACCTGGGTGTAACTAGAGGGTCTGGCCGGCTCACTACACTCAGAGGAAAGGCAAGCGGACATATAACCAGATTGTGACGGGTACCATCAGTACTGGAACTCTGTAATGGCTGCTGAAGATGAGGATGGAGCATGCATGGAAATGCCCCGAGTGCTCAAATCAACTCAACCCAAAGAGTTAAGACTGAAGATACAATTATGAAGAGAAACCACCAACCTGGGGGTTGTAGTTGATTGTGTCCCCTTTCTTGATAAACAGTCGTTTCTTGGGTTTCCGAACTTTGACCCTGTGGGGAAAATTAATCACATAAAAACCTGGCATTTTTTAGTGACCTTATTTAGTGTTAACAACAACAAAACTTACAGTAAATCACATAACGATAATCTTCTTCTTCTTGCTCTTCTTTATCTTCTTCTTCTTCTTTTGTCTTCTTTTTTTTCCTTCTTTTTCTTCTCTCCTTCTTCTTCTTCTTATTTTCCTTCTCCTCCTCCTTTTTCTGATTCTTTTCTTCTTCTTCTTCTTCACTTCCTCTTTTACCGCTGTGGGTGTCGAGGGAGATATAAGGTTCTGTTTCTAGCTCTTCTGGCCGCCTCGACCATAGGCACATCGTGTTGTTGTAGTTTCTCTGATGTTATCCTTCCATCTTGTTCTTGGTCTACCTCGTGCTTTTCGTCCTTCTTCTCTTTCCATGTATGCTTTGTATGGTATGGTGTCACAAGGCATTCTCTCTAAGTGGGCAAACCATTTCACTTGCTGTCTTTGTATGTAATCCAGAATTGGTTCTGTGCCGACTTGTTTTCTTATGATCTCATTCCTGATCTTATCTCTTATGGTCACTCCTTCAGCCCTTCTCAGACATCTCATTTCCGTGGTTACTAATTTTCTTTTATGGTTTGTTGTGAGTGACCATGTCTGGCACTGGTAGCACAGAGTTGGAATAAATATGCTTTGAATACGATGTCTCTTTGTGCTGATTGGGATTGTCTTATGCTGTAAGAGGGGGGCTAGCTGTCCCAATACTTGGTTTGCTTTACTGCATCTAATGTTAATTTCTTTATCCAATTTCCCATCTTCGGTAAATGTAGTTCCCAGATATTTAAACTCAGATGCCTGTTTAATGTCTTTGTATTCTATTGCTATGTTTAGATCTGTCTTCTTTTTTCCTATTGACATTACTTCTGTCTTTTCAGTGTTGATTCTCATATTATTTGTTTTACATTCTTCATTCATGGATGTTAGATGTTGTTGTAATTTCATGGCTGTTGTTTAGTTTGGTTTATTAACGAACTTGGAAGGATGTTGTAAAGAGCGAGAAATTAGGGGTGTTGGACTGAATGGTACAGATATTGCAGCTTAGCTTTTGTAAACCACAACACGAAGTGCCAACCTCCTTTTTCTTGATTCTTTGCATTCATCAAATGCAAGGAAATGTTCTGGTTGTTCATCAACTACTAAATTTTGTTCTTGTCCATTTCCCAAATCTGGCTGACTTGTACGCAGACAGTTGATTCCTTACCTGTCATGCTGATACACTCTGACTTCAAAGAACACAACCACTACCTCGTCGCACGAATAGTGGGCCTATTCTTTTTTATCGCAAAAAGGGCTCAGAACACCCAGGGAGATAGTGGTGAGGAAGGTATTGATGATGTTAACGACGATGGTAATGATGATGATGATGATGATGATGATGATGATTATGATGGCAATGTTGATGCTGATAATGATTATGATGGTAATGTTGATGCTGATAATGATTATGATGGTAATGTTGATGCTGATAATGATGATGATGATGATGATGATAATGATGATGATGGTGACGATGATGGTGATGATGATGGTAATGTTGATGCTGATAATAATGATGATGATGATGATAATGATGATGATGGTGATGATGATAATGATGGTAATCATTAATGATGGTAATAATGATGATGATGGTAATAATGATGATAGTAATGATGATGATGGTAATGATGATGATGATGGTAATAATGATGATGGTAATGATGTTGATGGTAATGATGATGATGGTAATGATGATGATGGTAATGATGATGATTGTAATGATGATGTTTTCAGTAATAATAATAATAAATATGATGTTGATGATAATAATGGGGATGACAACAGTGGTAATGATAGTAGAAGGGACAATGATAAATATGATGAGAATAATGCTAGTAATGTTGTGTTTTAATTACGGTGACAAGTGATAATGATGGTGTAATTAACATACCCTGTTCCTTCCCTTGTGATGGTTTCAATAGTGGACACAAAATATTGCCCATACTGATCCTACAAACAAAGATAACATTCGTCAAGTTAGAGTGAGTACAAATAAAAGAGAAAAAGCCCTATTCCCTAGAAGTGCAAGACAAAAACAGAAAACCACGACACTGGGCTACAACCTGGTATCTGTGAGACAACAAAACCACGACACTGGGCTACAACCTGGTATTAGTGAGACGACACTGGGCTACAACCTGGTATCAGTGAGACGACACTGGGCTACAACCTGGTATCTGTGAGACGACACTGGGCTACAACCTGGTATCTGTGAGACGACACTGGGCTACAACCTGGTATCAGTGAGACGACACTGGGCTACAACCTGGTATCAGTGATACGACACTGGGCTTCAACCTGGTGTCAGTGAGACGACACTGGGCTACAACCTGGTATCTGTGAGACGACACTGGGCTACAACCTGGTATCTGTGAGACGACACTGGGCTACAACCTGGTATCATTGAGACGACACTGGGCTACAACCTGGTATCTGTGAGACGACACTGGGCTACAACCTGGTATCTGTGAGACGACACTGGGCTACAACCTGGTGTCAGTGAGACGACACTGGGCTACAACCTGGTATCAGTGAGACGACACTGGGCTACAACCTGGTGTCAGTGAGATGACACTGGGCTACAACCTGGTATCATTGAGACGACACTGGGCTACAACCTGGTGTCAGTGAGACGACACTGGGCTACAACCTGGTATCAGTGAGACGACACTGGGCTACAACCTGGTGTCAGTGAGATGACACTAGGCTACGACCTGGTGTCAGTGAGATGACACTGGGCTACGACCTGGTATCAGTGAGACGACACTGGGCTACAACCTGGTATCTGTGAGACGACACTGGGCTACAACCTGGTGTCAGTGAGATGACACTAGGCTACGACCTGGTGTCAGTGAGACGACACTAGGCTACGACCTGGTGTCAGTGAGATGACACTGGGCTACGACCTGGTATCAGTGAGACGACACTGGGCTACAACCTGGTATCAGCGAGACGACACTGGGCTACAACCTGGTATCAGTGAGACGACACTGGGCTACAACCTGGTATCAGTGAGACGACACTGGGCTACAACCTGGTATCAGTGATACGACACTGGGCTTTAACCTGGTGTCAGTGAGACGACACTGGGCTACAACCTGGTATCTGTGAGACGACACTGGGCTACAACCTGGTGTCAGTGAGATGACACTGGGCTACGACCTGGTATCATTGAGACGACACTGGGCTACAACCTGGTATCATTGAGACGACACTGGGCTACAATCTGGTATCATTGAGACGACACTGGGCTACAACCTGGTATCATTGAGACGACACTGGGCTACAACCTGGTGTCATTGAGACGACACTGGGCTTCAACCTGGTATCATTGAGACGACACTGGGCTACAACCTGGTGTCAGTGAGACGAC